TAACGTCTCGTGTTCTACAACTTACTGAATTTTTACATGTACATACAACAACAAATATTTCCATCTTTCTTCTCAATTGCATTGAAAATTGGTCATTGGAAAAGTTTGGAGATTTTGTTGTTATTAGTGATAATGCTAAAAATATTGTTAGTGCGGTGGAAGCTGCAGGACTAAAATCAATCGGTTGTTCATGCCACAAATTAAATCTTGCAATTAAAAAATCAACCACAGATACATTGTCAGTTAATAGTGTACTCAAAAAAGCCAAAAGGGTTGTGAAAAAGATCAAAAAAAGTTCAACTCTTTTTTCTTCATTAAAGAACATTTTTGAAGAAGAACACAAGGAGTATAAAAGATTGATTACTGATATAGAAATTAGATGGTTTACAAAGATTGGAATGATAGAAAGTGTAATTTCGAGTGGTGAAGAAATAAACCGGTTGTTTATAGAACGTTCAAAATCAATAAAAAACAAAAAAGAAAAAGAATTGTTTATTGCAAATCACACTTTTTCACAAAGTGATTTTGAAATTCTTGGTTTCGTTGGAAATGTAATGAATTCTATTAAAAATACCAGTGATTTTTTATCATCCGAAAAAATACCAACATTATTTTATTTGTATGTTGAAATTGAACAACTTAAAATGGATTTAATTGATTTAATGGAATCCAACAAAAACACAAATGAAATTATCGAAGAAACGAAACTTACTTTAACAATTGGAGATGAAGAATACACCCCAGATTACTGTTTGAATTATACCACAAAACAACTTAAAAATGTAAATTTCGATTACGAAGAACATTTTGAATTTGATTTGACTAAAACGAAAATTGAATTTTTAAATAATGTAATCAAATCATTAAATTTTTATTTCTATGAGGGGGAGTACAATTTAAGAAAAGATCCAAAAGTGATGTTAGCAAATTACCTTAATCCTGTAGTAAAATTGTCGGTATTTAACACTGAAGAGGTTGATGAAATAAGGATGTTAATCAAATCTTATATTGAAGAAAAATCAATTGTTCCCCAAACACAAGAATTGTCACAAAATGAAGCAACACCAAAATTGAGATATTCTGTAACTCTTCGAAATAAGACAAATACAAATATTGATGTATTGTCACAAATGATGAGATATGAAAATGAACCTCTTGAAAATGACAATTTCAACGATTTTGCGACATATTGGAAAAACAAAGAAATATACTTGCCTGCTCTTTCAAAACTTGGAGTAGATCATGCATCTATTTTATGTGCAAGCACACCTTCCGAAAGGTTGTTTTCTTTGGCTGGAAATTACACAACAACTAATAGGAATAAATTACTTCCTACTCATTTAGAAAAAATGTGTCTCATTTATACTTATACAAGAAAAAAGAATCTGAAAGAATTGGTTGGAATAGAAAATTGTAGCACAAGTATGATACTGGAATAATTAAATAATTAAAATAATTTATCATATTTTTTTGTTTTTAAAAAATAAAATTATTAAGTTTTATAATATAAAAAATTCTTTTTTTAAAATGTAAATATGGTTTAAATGAAAAGTGTGATACTTTTAAAAATAATGTAATTTGTTGTATATATAATTTGTATAATTATGTGCTGTTAAAATAACAAATCGTTATTTAACTTAAAACGCGTGATTATAAATCCATTATTTATATAAAATATTTATTTAAATACAACTTTTCAATGCAAATTTGCATTGTAAATTGGTATTAAATGTTATTTTATGTAAGTTTTTATTTAATTTATTAAAATTAATATATAATTATAAAAAATTGTTAATATTTTAATGTTTTTTTAAATTCACATCATTTAAATATAAATTGAAAAATAAAGACTACATAAAACGTAAACCAAATTAAAATAATACTTGATTTTGTTATTTTTTATCAATCAAAACAAACACAAAAACATAAGTATAATTTATATTAACAATAACAGTAATATTTATACATTATTAAATAATTTTTGATGATATTACAACATTTGAAAAAAAACATTAATAATAATAAATTGATATTATTAGAATTTATATTTTAGTAATCAAAAACATGTTTTATATATTAATTATTTAATTAATTAATTTAAATTAAGTCATGACAGTTTGGTAACAAATTCAAAACATTAACATAATTATAACAATAAGTTTTTAACCTAAACTTTATGGTTGCTGAAATATACAAAAGAATAGTGTATTTCAAGTTTTAATATTTTTATTATTTAAAAATTGGAAATGTTAATTTTATTTTGTTATTTTCAATTAAAACAAACCGAATAGTGTGATGCAAAAACAACTAATTTAACTTTTCAATGTAATGTTGATCATGCTTGGAATTAAACATAAATGTAAGAGATAAAAAAGATTGGGTTTAAATGATGGTATAAAATATTTAGTATTTTTTTCAAAAAAAATATTATTTTTTGATTGTAACGAGTATAATGTTGTTATTATTGTCGTGTTTGTATGAATGACTATTTGACATTTTTCTTAGCTAATGGATCGACTATGTGACGTATTTTATTGTATCTTTTAATAAATGATAAAAATGTCATATTTTATTCAAATAATCATTTGGATCAATTATTGGTTATACAATGCTCGTTTGTTAATTGTTTTAATTAAAAAAATGACTAATGACGTATTAAAAAGTAAATTTTGAATAAAAATTAAAAAAAATAATTTTGACATTATTAGTATAATTTGTTTAAACAATTACAATAATAAAAATAAAATATTTTGAAATTAAATTTTGTTTGAAAATGTCATTTTACAACACAATTAAAATATAAAGTTTGAGAAACATTTGTTTTGGAAACAAGTAGTTTTAAAACACGGTGTTTGAAAACCCAACAGGTATTATTTATTTTTAAAACAATTTCAAAAACTGAAATTGTTTCACAAACTTTTTTATTCATGTTTTAAAACATACTAAAATTGTTTGTTTCAGAAATAAACAAAAAATCGTTTAGGAAACCGTTTCGACATCCCTAAATTAGATGTAACCTTTAATATAAAAAAAATAATGATATTATTTTAATAACCAAAAAAATAAAAAAATGACTAAAAATAAAAAAAGATGTTGAATTGTGATGATTACGACGATAACAAAGTTCTTCTTATTTCGAGTGATATTGGTGATGATGATTATATAAATAAAGTGATGACTTCCAATCCATCCATAGATATCAATAAGAGAATCCGATGGGCATATGGAGGATATTATAATGATTTAAGTACCCCATTACATTATGCTACCCGGTCTGGACATTTCAATACAGTCAAATTACTATGTAAAAAATTTAACGCTGATCCAACAATAAAAGACGTTGAAGGGTGGAATTCGTTCTATTATTCTGTAAATGCAGGACATATACTTATTTCAAAATATTTGATTGACTTTGTTCGACACAAATATGGTGATTTGGTCACAGAGAAGATGGTGAATGATAGAGATAAAATATATCAAAGGTCTCCACTTGATATAGCAGTTCATAGAAATTTTGTTGATATAGCCATTTTGATTGATCCCCAAGTCAATTTGACAACAAAGAAAAACCACATTGAAAAAGAAAGAAAACAAGAAGGAAACGTATTTCTCAATCGATACAAAATATCAACAGAACAAATTGGTATAATTAATAGTTTTAATTCAATTAGTGAACCAAAGGTTAACGAATTAATTGAATTAAACAATGTTATTGATGAAGTAACAGAAAAGAATGTTATATTGGTGTTGTCAAAAAGATACATGGGAATTTGTCACGATCTAAAAAGAGATGGATTGGTTGCTATAAGGTCGTCTACATTATCAAAAAGTTCATTTTTAGTTGTGTATCAACCGAAGAAATAATTCAATAAGTTTTGTTCAGTTAATTATTATAATACAACATATAAAAATAACATCATTTGAAGAATACAATCGTTCATTTTTTAATAATATTATAACTTGAGTTGATTTTAATCAGTGTTCTTTTTATTATTAAATTCACTAATAATAGTTCAAAATATCGGGAATTAACTAAAAATCCAAAAAATTGAAAATGAAACTAGAACAAACAAACTCTTTTATATTTCAAACATATTTTCGATAAGATACAATTATTATTGCTTAAAAACAACAAGAAAACAGATCAGACTAACTCTATTCAATGTATTTTGGTTGAAATATACTGATTTGTTTATGAATACAATCAACAAAAAATTATGAATTTTAAAAATTTAATATCAATTTTTTTAAAATAGATTTCTGGTGATACGAAACAAATTTAAAAACCATTAATTGTTAATTATTTAAATTTAATATATCAAATTATTTTTAAAACTGCCAATCAATACAAAACAATAGATTTCATCCTCTGTGATTCAATGAACCAAACTGAAATAACAAAGAAAAATAGAAAGCTCAAACATAAGAAAAAGAGCCCTACAATTTTCTCGTTGTTTTCTCTCCCATACTCTCCCATTCCAAAATAAGTAGACTGAATGAGAGTTAAAGAATCTCTTAAGTCTGAAACCGCATCAGATGGTATAAAAATGTTTTGATGATATTGTGAAGGACATTCCATTCTAGGCAACGTGTTCATTTGTTCCATATTTTGTTATATTAAGTTATGGGTAAATTTCTAAAAATAAATTACTATTTAAGATCATAATTATTGATTGTTGTTTATTATTGAAATGAATTAAAAATATAAACATTTAATCAACAATAATAAACACAAAAAATGTTGTGTTGTCAAATTAAAGTGATCGTTTGTTCTTCTTTTTATATAAAAAGTGAAGGAACTTAATTATTTATTGATTCATGGTTAGACAAAAACTTAATCAATTCTATTGTTATAAGTAAATATTTATTAAAAATGATACAATTAGTGTTAATGACAAACCAAAAGAACTTTCAAACCATTTTAAAAACAGTTAATAAAAAAAAGTTTGACGTTTTGAACTCAAAAAGATTAAAATTAAAAAAACTTTAAATTAAATAAATTATTGATACACTACTTGGGTGAAGCTTTCAAACCCATTACTTCCAATTTTTGTCACGCTTTTTGGTAGTTTTACGACTCTTAAATGACAACACCCATTGAAGCAAGTCTCTCCAATTTCACTGACTCCGCATGGAATTTTGATGTCACTAATACTCGAACAATACTCAAAACAGCTCTTTCCAATTGTTTTTAAATTGTCATTCAACTTGATGTCTGTTAACGACGTGCAATTTCCAAAACACGACTCGCCTATGTAATCGACGTTCTTGGGAACAACGAAGTTCTTCAGTGTCAGACATTCCATGAAAGTTCCTTCTCCAATTTTCCTCGTGTTGTCTGGAAGACTTATTTCAAGTAAAGAGGAACATCCATTGAAACTTCCACTCCCAATAAAAGTGGTGGAATTTGGAATTTCGATCTTTTCAAGTGAATCACAAAAGGAGAAACAGTTGTCTCCAATGTATAATAAAGTGCTTGGCATGTTGATTGAATGTAACGAGAAACAATAGCAGAAGCACCCTTCCCCAAGAAATTTGACGGACTCCGAGATGACCACCGAACTCAGTGCGTAACAATTATAGAAACAGAATTTGTTGAGGGAATAGACGTTGTTGGGAATGGTGATCGAAGGAAGATTTAATTCTTTCATATAACAGTAATCGCCAACGAAATTGATATCAGAAGGAATTTGTGTGCCATAACTCTGTCGGTTGTCTTGAGTGTAACACACACTTTTGAAATTGATGTTTCTCTTGGTATTGAGCATGAAAGTTTCATAGTCAACTGTAAAAAGCACTTCAATTTGATAAAACGTCTTAATTGGGTTAAAGACGTCGTTCTTTGATAGAATTAAATGACCAAAATTATCATTGGTGGAATCATAGAGATAAAACGTTTCTAAGTGTGTGAAGTAATCAATTGTCTTTGAAGTGAGGGGTATTGGATTGTAATGAAACTTGGCTATAGTGTCTTTAAACTTCTTACTAACAAATACTAAGTTGATGAAATCGTTGATCGAATCAAAGTACTTCGATACGATCATTATTGTGTAACTGTCAAGTGTATACATTAGCATTTTAATAAGTTTTGTTTTCAAAATATGTCACTTAAGTAAAGTGATAAAAGTGTGGAGATCTTCTCCAAATGTTGCTAGAAGTTATAGTTATTTTGTATTAATTAAAAAACTAATATGATATAAATACTATATTTATATCATTATTACTATAATAAATAAGTATTTTATTTATTGTATTATTATAATATATAGTTCTTTTTTGTTAATATTTTAAATTAACACTTTTTTTAACTTTCAACAAAATGAAAAGTGGTTCAAAAATCGGGAAATTTCAATCTTATTAAATCTATTTCCCAAAATATAGATATTTATTTTTTTTTGAATTAAAAAAACGCATCAATAAAAAAGTTTAAATATCAAAAAATGTGAACAGATCTGGTACTAAGGTTTCGACAAATTATTTAAATACTATTTATATTATAATTATAATATATAAAATAATTATTTATTATAATAAATGATCGTAAAAGTCCAGTTTTAATTAAAATTTTTATAATGGTATAAAAATTATTAATAAATAGTAGAAACCAAAGTTCCAATCGAACATCTTGTTCCATATCAGGTAATATTTTTAAAGACATATCGATATAAAACATTCAACTTAAATTTTATTTTAAATTTTAAAACTAGTTTGAAACTTCAAACTTTTTGAGTCTTGACAAATAATATTTAAATGATAAAAATCGAAATGAATACAAATCGAATGAGTAATTACAAGCCACATATTAACATCAGTGTTGCTGGTCCATATCACAGTGGGAAGAGTACTCTTTTTGGTCATTTTATCTACCAACTTGGTGGTGTTGACAAGCGTACCATAGAACGTTTTAAAAGCATTTCAGAGTCTATGGGGTTATCTAAATGTGAATATGCTTTTATTCCCGAGTCTCAGCAGACTGAAAGAAGTCAACAGAGATCTATAGTACCAAGTACTTGGGTTATCAACACCAACAAATTTCGTGTCTCATACACTGACACTCCCGGACAAAACCGTCTTATTAAAAATTGTATTCGTGGTATTCAGAAGGGTGACTATGGTCTTCTTGTGCTTTCAGCGTTACAGAATTTAGACGAACAAAAAGACGCAATACGAGAAAAGTTGATTCTTTTCAAGACCTTTCTTGTTGATGTCTTTGCTGTTGTTATAACAAAGATGAGTGAAGTGGATTACTCAGAAAGTCGCTTCGACGAAGTTCAAGCGTTTGTTACTGACGTTTTGAGTCTTCTTAATTTTGATGTTCACAAAATCAAATTTATTCCAGTCGACGGATTTGAAGGAGAAAACTTGTCGACTTTATCATTGAAAATGCCTTGGGCAGTAAAGAAGAGTAAACCCCTTCTTGAAGAGATCGACGCATTACAAGTCCCCGAGAGAAGTTTAAATGACAAGAAGCCACTTCGGGTGACTGTTGAAGACTCTTATAGAATCAGTGGAATTGGGTGCGTCTGTGTTGGAATGGTCGAGAGTGGTATTTTACAAGAACAGAGTAAATTAATAGTGTCACCAAGTGGCGTGTCGGCACAATGTAGAAGTATTGAGATGCACCATGAGAGCTTATTTGAAGGAAAAGGAAGAGATTTTGTTGGTGTTAATCTGCTGTATGCAACTCATTTGGACTTTCATGTTGGAGACATCATTTCAGATATTAATAGTCCGGCAGTCCGGTGCGAAAGATTTGAAGCTCAAATTCAAGTCGTTGATCAGAGAAGTATCAAAGTAGGGTACATGCCACTTTTCAATGGAGCTTTAGTCCAAATGCAGTGTAAAATAGTCGAAATGAAGGCTGTGGAAAAGAAAGATACAAAAGAGGTTGAAAGTGGGAGTGTTACAGAAGTACACTGTGGCGAATCAGCAGTGGTTTCTATAATACCATTAAGGCCTTTATGTATCGAGACTTTTGAAAAATTTCCAAAATTAGGAACTTTTTTATTACGAGATAATGGGAAAGTAGTTGCGACGGGAAGAGTCAAAGAAATTATTAATTGGTCAACAACATCAAATAACACCATCAAAAAATTAATTGGGAAAAACACTCAAATTCAAGCAATAACAATTGATAAGTCAATATATTAATTAATTTTTAGATTAATAGAAACTAAAAAATAATATAACTATACATTGTATTAGTGTCTTATTTGTATGACAAATAAGTGACAATTCAACAAATTTCTTATCAAATATTTTATTTCCATTGTCTAATAATAGAAATCCTAAAATCTGATAATAATAAGATTGAATTTTAAAATTAATATAATAATACTTTTATTAATTGAATTATGGGACTTTATTTTTTTAAAAGTATAAGTTAATGTAATATAATAATCATACTAATATTATAATTATTTAAAATATATTATATTATTAATTTAATATAATTAATTATAATTTATATTTTATAGTTATTAAAGAAGTAAAAAAAAATAATTTATAAAAAAAATAATAATTTTTTGTAACACATGATTTTAATAATCCATTTCATTTTAGTTAAAGTTTAATATTATTTAATAAAAAATAGTATTGATTTTTTTGTGTATATTTAAAACTGCCCAAAACTGTTTTTTTAATTAAATTATATAATAGTTATAATAATCATGATAGTTGTTTATTATTTTTATAATTGTTTTTACAAATAACAAATAAAATATATTTATAATCAACATTTTGGTACACATTTGGGAAACAAGTCATAAACTAATATTTTATTAAAATTTATTAATAAATAATAATTTACCACAAACCTTCAAAAAGAACTTTCCAAAAAAAGAACGAAAAATAGACAAAAAATAATAGTTAAAACAATTAAATGATACTATATAATCGACCTTCTGCACACGTCTAAATTCTCGGAGTGTTTTTGAATCTTTCCTAACTTATCTGTACATGAACAAAGAAAAGGAAAAATAGCAAATAACTATAAATAAATAATAAAACAACTATATTACATACAAAACAATATTTAAGCAAAACACACGTTTTTGTTTCTTAATTTTGACCAATCCAAAAATAAAAAGAGAAGAAAACTTGAATTAGTATGCTTTTCTTACTATACCTATTAACTATCTGTCTAAGTGCTGCAGACGAAACTGGTTGCACAAACAGAATATCAGAAAATCACTGTGTTGAGTGTGACCCTTCTCACCACTTGGAACTTCAACCAAATGATGCGACTGGAATTCCTTCCCTTGTCTGTGTTGCAAATCAAGATGTCGCAAATTGTGCTGAAATGGAGAATGGCGCTTGCATTAGATGTAATATAAAATACTATCTTCACAACAATGAATGTATTGGTTGTGTGGCTGGCTGTAATTACTGCAACGACCAAGTCTGTTACCAATGCGGAACTGATGAGACCAATGGCACTCAATTGTACCTCTCCACTGACGAAACAAGATGTATCGACTGCACTCAGCAAGCCAACGACGAAGAATGTGGGAGATGTGATGCTGGAAAGTACTTTAACATTGAAACAAAGAACTGTCAACCATGTAAAGACGATTGCGCCCTTTGCACTGAAAGTTACAACTGTTACCAATGCAAAAACAACAAACTTCTGAACAAGAAAGATAACCCAACAGCTTCTGATCCAGACACGTGTGACGATATTGTCAACTGTGATCCAACAACCGGACTCAAATCCGATCACTGCGAGTTGTGCCTTCCCGGTTTCCGACTTGAAAAGGGCAACTGTGCTCCTTGTGATGAAGGGTGTGATGTATGTTATTTGGATGATACTGGCAACAACTTCTGTAGTATCTGTTCAGAAGATAAAACGATGGACGATGGGAAATGTAAAGATAACAGTGAATTAAACTGCAAAGAAGGAAGTAAAACGTATGGATGTCTTGAATGTGTCGAGGGCTATTACTTTGATTCATCATATAAATGCAAGCAATGCTCCTCAACGTGTGGCACATGTGTTTCAGAACCAACACATTGTTTGTCTTGTGCTCCGACATACTTCTTTAAGACAAATACCTCCGAGTGTATTAAAATGGACGATAATTGTAATCTTGCTGATCAGGCCGGGTGTAAAGAGTGCAAGAACAACTTGACCTCGACTGAGAACGACACAGCTCTTGGGTATTATGTACCTCCCGGAGAACAAAATTGTAAACAGTGTGAAGGCAATTGTAAGTTGTGTGAAGGCGAACCAACGCATTGCAGCGCTTGTATTACTGACTTTGTTTTGGAAAATACAACAATTTATGATGAAAACAAAACGGCTATTGGAAGTTATTACGCCTGTGTTCCTAAAGGGAAAGATTGTTTCAAAACGGGTTTGTTCTTTACATATTAGACGTCCTTATGAACACAATTTATATAGCTTTATTTTAATAATATATTTACTATTCCAAAACTACAATTTTTATTTAACTATAATTTATAATATAATAATTATAGAATTATGAAAATACTATAATTATACCATTTAATTACTATACATTTAATTATACTATAATTTATACAAAAATTATTATATTAATATAGAATTGTTATTGACACGAAGAAATGGGGTACTGTACCGAATGTCGACCCGGGTTCTTCATTCAAGGAGGAGACTCGCAGGAATGCATTTCGTGTAATATCACGTGTGGGACATGTAAAACGAGTGACGCGTGTTTGTCTTGTGATGGCGATTATTTCATGTCGAAGGCGGATCAAGCCGATGGCAAAGACCACTTGTGCACGTCACGATGGGAAATCAATATGACGTGTACCGCTGGTCCGAATGGGTGTGAGACGTGTAATGATGGGTATTATATCAATCGAGAAGACCCGACGCAGACGAACTGTACTGAGTGTCCAGTCGAGTGTGAATTGTGTGAGTTTAAGAGCACTGATGAGAACGACCCAACGGTTGGGTATCCTGTTTGCACGTTATGTCTGGACAATAGGACATATGTGAAGGATGGGAAGTGTGCGCCGTGTACCGAGCTTAAGAATTGTGAGATCTGCAAAGGTACTAAGTGTGATGTATGTGCCGAAGGGTATAATTTAGACGCGGGCGAGACGTCGTGTTCGAAGACGAATTGGGCGTTGATCATTCCATTAATAATTGTTGGTGTTATTATTATTATCATCATCTTTGTAATTATTATTGGAATCATCTGGTGGAGAAGAGTGAAGAGTGTGAAGGCGGAGACAGCTGCTATTAAACCGTTCCACGTTGGGAGTGATTTGGAGTTGTTATTGCTTGGGGCGGATAACGAGAAGTTCCCGTTGAAGACGGACAAGTGGGAGTTGACCTTTGGGCTTTCGAAGACGAAGGCTATAGTAGATACTGAGTACACTGAAACGGTGAATCTTGCGAATATGTCGAAAAGTCAATACTACTTTGAGTTCCACTTTACACCGAGCCATAAGTATGACTTGAATATTGAACCGATGAGTGCGACACTGAAGGCTGGGACAGCTATTCCAGTCACTTTTAAGATCAAGATGCTGTGTACGACGTCTGTGAGTGATAATATTGGTATCTCAGCGATGGATATTGATGATAATAATAAGGAAACGGCGAAGTTCACGATTGTGATAGAGTCTGATTTGTCACTGAAATTGGACCACACTGAGTTGAAGCCGATTATGCCACCAATTGGTGAAGGAGCGTTTGGGATGGTGTTTAGAGGGACATACCGAGTGAGAGATGTTGCGATTAAGAAGATGAAGGCGAGGAATTTGACACAAGAACAAGAGAAGGAGTTTAATCATGAAGTTTCGATGATGACGCAGTTGCGACAGAACTGCGTTGTTGAGTTGATTGGAGCAGTTTATACAGAAGGAGAGATTGCGATTGTGACTGAATACGCTGAGTATGGATCATTGAGTAAGATGTGGGGAAAGAACCCAGTGAGTTATCAATTGAAGGTGAAAATGTTAGACGACATGGCAGTTGGACTTGCGTATTTGCATCAAAATGAAGTTCTGCATAGAGATGTTAAAGGAGAGAATTTATTGGTGTTTTCGTTGAACCCACACTCACCAGTCTGCGCGAAATTAACGGACTTTGGGACGTGCAGAAACATCTCGGAGAGAAGCTTGCAGTCGAAAGCGTTGTCACAAGGGATTGGAACACCAACTTATATGGCGCCAGAGTGCTTACAGAACACGTCGGACTATAGCTACCCGGTAGATGTCTATGCGTTTGGTATTGTGTTGTACGAGACGTATATTGAAAAGAACGCATTTGAAAATGATGAAAGATTTAATCAACCATGGATGATCCCTCAGTTCGTTATTGAAGGGAAGAGACTCGATAAACCAGCAGGCGTCCCAGAGAACTATTGGGACTTGACTACGAAATGCTGGAAACAAAATCCGGAGGAAAGACCAACATTCTCTGATGTCTTGAAGATCATCGAATCGTGGGGAGAAGATATTAGATACGCTCTCAGTACAGAAGCAGAAAAGAAGGATATGCCACCACCAGCTCAAAACGCTCCTGTTGATCCACAACAAGAAGTACAACAGCCCGCTGCTGTTGAAAATGAAGACGAGAAGAGTAAATCGTCTGATTCAGAGTAAATTCAATTTACTTATTTGGTGAAAGGTTTTTGGTATTATTATAAATGTTTTATTATAGAATAATAAGATACAACTTATATATATTTATTATAATTTTTTTGCCTAATTATGGTTATTATTGTTTTGTGGCGGTAAACAAGTGTAAATACTTAGACTTTAAACAGTGCCACCAAAAAATTTTTTATTGGAAGTGAATTTTGAAAATTTTGTTCCAACCCATCAAAATTTTAAATGTGGTGGTGGAAATAAATTAATTCAAAAAACAAATAACATTTTAAGGTTTATAGAAATGTTATTTGATAAACCTTCAACGATAAATATACAACGTCAGTTACAAAAATAAAGAAGGCAAAAATAGCAACATAAAAATGACCAATAAAAAATGTAAAAAAGTTCAAAAACATTAAAGATTACTTTTTTCATATTCTTTTATTCTTTTAGACTTCTTTGCAATGTTTAGCAAACAAAAATATTATAACGAGTCAATTAATTATGCACAACTTCTTGTTCTTATCACATTTGTATTTTTTGGTTCATTTCATAAAGTTTTGATATAGTTGTTTAAAGAATGTGAAACCGCTCCGTTTCTTTCATGGGTATAACAGTCATACCTCATGGACTCTATTCAAATACCCATTCCTCCGTGTTAACAAGAAAAGAGATCTCTTGTCGCTACCGTCATACCCCATACCAAAGTTCATCACCTGTTACCACTTTCTCAGTCTTTTTTTGACTTTTTGACTATTTATAAAGAACTTTTAGTCTTTTTCCTTTTCATGCGTAAACGCTTTTTAAGCTCAGTTCTACTAAATCTACATCCGTCTTTTAGGATCGATTCGCCCTATTCCAATTAATGTTGTCTAGGAACCTTTCTCCTCTTCAGTCCTTAGATATTTTTTTCCTCTTCTAAGTATTTGCTACTTCCACCAAGATCTGTACTCAAGTCTGTTTCAATAGAAATTACTTCTCTATTTTTATCACTCACGTATTCTTGACACAATGCATTTCCTTACTCCTCGTGTGATCTATGTTGTAAATATTTTGTAGATGGAGTTTTCAAAATGTGTAAACTTTTGAGAGAAATTCATTTTTGTTTTCTTTTTTATTATTTAGAATTTGTTTGACAGTGAATTGTTTATTTTTAATTTATAATAACTAAGTCTTATGTATATTATTACAAATAATTTAAAATGAATTATAATCTTTATAAAGTTTAATATTTTTTTATTAAAAAGAACAAAGAGCTTTTTTTTCAAATTAAACAACTAGTTTATTTTAATTATAATTTTTTATGAAAAATTGGCATAAGGTGTAATGACCACACTAAATTTATTGTTTTGTTTTATAAATTTATATAAAAATGGCAATATTTTCATTATTATTAAAAACCGCCTTCATCAGTCTAAAATTGTATAAATTTGCGGGCACTTGTCATGTTTTAAGAAAATTCGTTATTCTTGGAATTTACAAATTGAAAAAAACTATTAATATAATAATTTTTTTTTCTATAGCAAATTGAAACAAAAACATTTATTTTTATGGAATAATTTCAATTTTTGTATTTTTTATTAAATAATAATATAACTATTATTTACTAATGTACAGAGGTTTATTATCAGCATATTGTTTACTATATATTATAGTTTTATTTGATTAAATTATTAGATTATAAAATAACGTATATATCCCAGTTTTTAAAGCATTATATTTATTGTTTATTAATATTTTTAATTATTAACATTAATAATAATTATTACTAGTTTTAGTTTAAAAAAATAAAATAATTACTACTAATTATAATTATTTATATAATATATTTACTACTCGCAGGTTTATGATTTATAATATTTTACTAATGATTGCATTTAATTAATAAATAATTACGGCACTTATATTAAAAATGGTAATTATCAAAATAATTTTGAATTTTTTGGGTTAAAAAATCTTCCCATTGTTTAAATGAAATTCACTTCCAATAAAAACATACCTTTTGGTGGCATTGCTTTAAATTATTAACACTTTTAATAACATTGAACAAAATTCAAGTGGTCTAAAAATCTGGGAAATCTCGAGTTTATTAAATAAATTTCCGTTTTTTTAGAGTTTATTTTATGTGCATAAACTATACACAAGCCAAAAAAAAGAAAATCATCAAAATTTGAATTACAGTTAACGGAAAAAGTGGGATGCTGAGAAAAAGGGGGATGCTAATCTAAATATTAATTAATTTAATATTATTAATAATAAATAATTAATATAAATTTATTTTGGTTTTTTCATTTTATTAATTTTTTGATTAATAATTTATATTAAAATTAATAGTTATTTTATTATTATTTAATTGAAATTGACCAATAGTTACGAGCATCCTCCTTTTTCGAGCATCCCCATATTTCCTCCTACTGTAATATCTCTGTAAAAATAGGCCAAAAAAAAATAAGGGCGTTATTTTAAGTGTTAAGAGAAATTTATTAATTTTTTTATTAATTTTTTTTTCAACATTTTTAATGGTTAAGTTATTTTTAAAAAAATTAATTCTGTTTTAAATTTTATTTTAACATTTAAAAAACATTTCCAAATTAAAAAAAATTGTAAAGAAAAACAGGAAAAACTGGTCAATGTTTTAAATAATATCAAAACGGTAAAGTTTCAATATAAAATCAAATTTAAATATTCATCACTCGATAAATATTTATGGGGGAAACACCATCCGTTGGTAGACCTGTTAGCACTAAGCCAATTAAAAGTATGACACTTCAAGAAAGGATTGCAACCCAACAAATGAAGATTATTTTCCAGGGGTTAGCAGGACTTCAAGCACTTAAGACAATTCCAAACAAACAAGCACTTCGAGAAACAACTACAGAGTCTGTTTATACTACTGATATCATTGTTAATGGTATTAAAGAAGACATCGTTGTGGCGGGGAGTAAGGTAGATTTACCACCACATCAAGACTATTATCCATCAAACCAAGGGAGGAAGTCTGATTATAACATCTATGTGATACTTATTGATTGCACCACAAATAAATTCCAAGAAGGTGACATCTTTCATCTCGTACAATATTATTACAGTTTTATTCCCGCGACTGAAGACCCGGACGATACGCACTTTGGGGAATGGGAAAGGTACCATTTTTTGGTGCAAAATTTGGTCGCACTTGTCTTTTATAACACTGACAAAAAAAATAATCGGTACTTCCCAGAAATTGTGAACAATTTTAATGAGTCGTGTCTCACATTTGCTATTGGAGATATTGACAAAGAAAGCATTTGTGATGTCATACAGAAGACAATTGCCGCGAAAAGAAGTGGGTTTGCAGGAAGAAGTTTTGGAGGATAAGAAGACACGTTATTTAAAGACTTTTTATGAAATTTTTTTAAAAACTTTTCTTTTTATTTATTTTATCAATAAAAATATAAAAAAATTGTTAGTATTTGGTTTTATTGTTTTAATATAAATAAGAAAAAGCAAAAGGTGAGTTTTCACATAAAGCTTGCTTAACACCTTAAATTACATTGAACAAAATTCAAGAGGTCTAAAAATTGGGAAATCTATAGTTTATTACATAAAAAACAGTTTCTGAAGTTTATATTATATGCATAAACAATACACAAACAAAAAAATCATCTAAAATTGAATTAATATCCCAGTAATAACAGATCAATTAAAAAAAGGGTGTTATTTTTAGTGTTAAGAAACTTTATTTATTTAATTGGCGTAAACATGTTTATAATGAAAAAATTGTATAAACTTTACAACATAAAAAATCATAAAAAAGTTATTCATAATTTTGACAATTTCGTACAAACACATTGACATTTTCAGTACCACCAAAAATTGTTACAAAAAGAGGGCAAAATTGAACATGTACTCTTTTTACACTTTTGCTAAGGTAAAGATCAACAAGATTTTTGCAATTTCCAATCACAATTTGCTCTACACTTTCTTCACAAATAACAGTTGTGCACTTTTCCCTAAAAACATGTGATTTTTTGTTGCCCACTCTTTTGATAAAGCCAATAAAATTCTTATCAGCATTTTTAACTTTAAGACCGACATCTCCGCCACGTATTTCTTTCACTGAAATATTTTGTAAGTCGACTTTTTTAACACAATTTGCAATTTCAAAATAATTGTAAACTTTCGAATACAAAAATGTATTTTTGAATGCAATTTCTTTCACTTCTATTTGTGAAAAATTGGCATCATTCGCCCAATATTTAAAAGATTCCAACAAAATAGTAGCTTTATTTATGCATTTAATTTTGTCATAAAAGAACCCACTATTTATTTGATAATTTATTTCAGTTTCAATTCGGCCACATCGGCCAATTAAAATTGGGAATTTATCACTTTCGTTTTTTGTTACAACAAATTTGTCCGTCAAAATGTTTAAATTAACTTTTGATTTGTTTGTTACAAAATTATGATAGACTTCTTTGTGTTTTTTTAAATTATTCAAATTTTGTGTCACTGATTTTCCAATATCGTAAATAGTAATTTTATCACCTTTATTACAATAAAATGATAATGACTTTGCACTCCCTATTTCTACACGTTCAAGTTGTCCGTCAATGTGCACCGAATATTTTGGAATTGTTCCAATAACGCAATTTCCACCATAATGCAAAACTTGTGGCTTCCCTTTGTCAAAAACAACACTTGTGGTGTTAAGAAAGAGATGTTTATATCCCAACATTTCTGTGTTGACAAATTGAGAAAACTCTGTGTCACAAATTGTCAATTTTTCTTGAGTAGAAGATAAAATCACAGAATTACGAATGGAAAGTAAACGCGAACAAAATTCGAAATGTTTCATAAATACAAAATCCGGTATTTTGATATTCTTATACAAATTGGTTTTGTTAATTTCAACAGAATTTGAATTTTCCATCTGCACATATCTCAAAATATTGTTATTGAATTTGATGTTGTTACAATTCGTTTCGATAAAGAAAATTTCACAATTGTTCAATTCGACAAAGTCACAACATAAATAGGAATCCAACCGCCCAATATAACACTTTTCTTTTTCTTCTTCTTTGTGAATCACTTTTTGTTGATCACTTTCTTTCATTTCTGAAACTTTTTGTATGACAATTTTTGTTGATTCCGTCATTTTAAAGTACATACACATTTTGTGGAAGTTAAAAATAGCCGAATGACATTGTGTGACGACAAATTGTCCAACACAAACAAATTCAGTTGTAAAATTTTCGCACTGAGTAAACTCGAAATTTTGAATGTATTTCCCGACTATTTTAACATTTTTAATACCAACCATATACAACGTTTTAATTTCATGTGAAACAACACAAATTTTCTTCACAAAATTATCAACTAAAACGAGTGGTGAATTTAGTGTGAGTGATAAGTACAACCACTTAGATGGACTTTCTGTTTTATTTTTATTTTCATCCACCGTAAAATAAGGAATTGTATATTCACTATATTGACGATATTGTTTAACAGGAAATGTATAACACAAATCTTTTTGAAATACAAAAACCTCCCCAGAAAAACGCGAATTTTCTAAATACAATTCATCGTTTATAACGGACGTTTTAGTATTATAATTAAAAACATTAATTCCGCTATTTTCAAGGCGATCACAGACAGTGTCCACATTCACTCTATTTACGATGGTGTGTACGCACTTTTCAATAAACACATTTATTATTAATTCACTGAGTTTTAATTCTTTTCTGATTTTTTTCAAGTTGAGGATTTCTGTTAAAAACTCTGGAAATGCGCAGCGCCAGAATGAAATCATTTTGAGACTCTTTAACACAGCGAACTGCTTGACAACTTTGATATCGCTATTGAACGCAGAGACATTGAGGAAAATTAAATTCTCAAATTTGGAAATGACACTTTTGTACCACTGAGGGGGGTGTAGAGAGAGGTGTGTCACCTTCTGAAGAGCTTTTTCGTTGATAGGCGAGTGTTGTTTAATAGGATAAGTGTTGTGTGGTGTTTTTACTAATCGCACAAATTTAATTTTCGAAAGAATTCGCGAAGTGATAGCCAACGAGTTTTCTAACATGAAATTAGGGCATTGGAGGGTTTCAATGATCGGAAACGTCGATTCGATGAATTTGAATATTTGCGTGAAAATTGGGAGTCGATGACTTGGAGATAAAGAAATTGTTTCTTTGGAAACGTCTATGTAAGGATTGATGTGAAGATGAGACAGACACCCGTGACACTTTTTGTTGATTTGAATGAAAGAAATTAACGAAGGTAGTTCGTTGATATATAGAACAACATTCATCAAAAAGATTTCTTCGAGATGGCACATCGTCATGTTGAATTAATGTGTTTTAAGAGTTATTTTATTATTAATACAATGTTTTACTATTAATTAATTATAATTGTTATTTATTATTATTATTCTTTTTAAATAACAGAAATAATAAAAATCATTTGTCTGTTTAACTTTTCTTTTTTCAATTTAAAACAAAGGTAATAATATCGGACTACTCATTACATTGATAGCGTGGTGCAAAATCCTATTCGATATAATAAACATTATCAAAAATGTCATATTTGATAGAGAAGACATGTCAAATTATCATTTGGGTCAAATTGAAAACGACAACAAGTGATTTGGAAAAAGGTCAATGCTTTAGATAACTTTGCTAAAGTTATCAAATATAACAAGAGTAAAACATAATTGATTTCTTCCCTTTTTAATTTTTTATGTATTTAGAAATAACACAAAATGTGTTTTAATTTATAGTTATAATTGTTATATTTTACTATAATTTGAACCAACTGGACTATTTTCCTGGCGTTTCCAAAATAATTATTGCCGAAAATGTGGTATTATAACGTACTAATTTATAAAAGAAAATGAACATTTTGGTTATGAAATGGTGGCGTGGGTAATTAGGATTAGGATTATGGAAACCTCTGCTATTTTCTATCTATTATTAAAATTGTAATTGTAATTTTAATAAAAATAATTATAATTTAGTTATAATAACTAATAGTTAAATAATTAAAATTAAAAGAGTATTTTAGTTCCAAAACCTCACAAATAAACTACTAAAAACGTCTATAATAATTATAAAAAAACTAAATAATTATAAAATTTTCATGATTATTATTTAACATAATAAATACTAAATCATGTGTTATATAAATCAAAAAATAACTCAATTTAAATATCAATTCGATGGAAACAGTTTCAGAACCTATCAGAACAAACCCACACCGTGTCTCTGACAAATCCCTTTATCAAAAACGCGACTTCAACAAACCCACCCAGCCAACTCACAACAAACACAACACCCCAAAGCCCAAGGTGTATGTCAAAAAAGTGACCGACGAAAAAGAACTTGCCCAGCAACGAAAATTTAAAAAGAACAACTCAATTTTTTTAAAACAATTAACACAGCGCAGAGTACGTACTTATAAATGTATCAATACAATTAACGCCGAGATTATTGGCTTGGAACAATCAAAAGGACTTCCAGCAGAGAAACTTGCTAAAGTCATTGAGTCTGATCTTCCTCAGTACAACCTCGGTACCTTTTTCTCTGCATTTCCAGAACCACTTTCTGATATCCCAAGGAAGTCTCGACACATCAAAATTGCTGAAGACTTTGATGAGCGTCTCAAAACAGAAAAGTCCAAAACAGTTCTTTCGGCTACTAAAAAGACGCAAAAAGTGTTTTACGAATTAGTCGACGCTGCTGCCCGAATTGGCATCTCAAGAGAACCAATTTTGGTTGCACTGTTCTACAATTATGGACTCTCATTACTTAATAACATGACACGAAGAGCCGCAAAGTTCATGAACGACTACAAGAAGGAAGGCGACGAGTTCCTCAGAAACATTCAAAAGAAATACGAAGCGGAAAAGCCTGGGAGAGACTTGAAGATTCGAATTAAAAAGTACAATCAATTAGATGGAAATGTTGAAATCATTAGGTCGATTGTCAAGTCATTGGAAAAGACTATAACTCTATTGAAAGATCCAAAGAGCAAAATCAGTACAATTTCTCCGGAGGGCATTGAGGAGTTTGTGTGTGATGAAGAGTCGATAGAGTCAATTAATAACATCATTCAATTAAAAATGAAACAAATAGAAAAGCTCCAAAAGCAGAATGATGAATTTGTGAAGCACGACGATGAGCTAAAACGTTTAACGAAGTACAATACACTCCATTATATACTCGTGTTGGATCACAAGAATCCACATGTCATGGATTTGGATATGAAAGCGTCTTATTTTGATCAAGTGAAAAAGTCTGAAGAGAAAATCAAACAATTTGCAGCGGAAAACCAGTTCAAAAAAGATGTTTGTATTCCTGAAGAAATAGTTGGAAGGTATCTGCCGAAGTTGAATGGGAAGGTGAAAGAAAGTGTAGACGAAGAGTTCATCCCAAAAGTCGAAGAAGTAAATAAGACGGCGAAATGGGGTGTAACACAATTGGTGAGTCAAAAAGCATTGGACAAAGCAAAGAATAACACCTTTGAGATCAGTTTAACAGATTCATTTGAATATGACCTTTTGGAAAGAACTTTTAGAGTGTTTGGGAACGGCTCGATATACAAAGTTACAAAGGAGAATGCGAATTACCCAAGAAGAGTCGAAAAGTACCATGGCACTATTGTGATGAATTACGCGAAACAGATTTATGCACAAAAACATCCTCAGAATGCTCCATGGTGTAACCGTTCTAAATATTCAGATAGTATTGTTATTGCAGTGAATAATATCACTTGGCAGATGTATAGTACAACTAAACAGAACTTGATTAATCTTGCAAAGGTGCTGTTTGGACAAATTAACAATTTCAATATGAACACTAGAACAATGTTCGTCTCTGAGTACAGTTTAGTAGACAAAGTGTTTGAAGATTATCCACACACAGAAGTCGTTGAAAGAATGGAAAATAACACAATAGAAGCAGTTTTAAGAGATGAAAGAGAAATTCTTTACAGAAAGCAAATGAATGATATGATAGAACAGACTACTAAGAAAATCACATTTGAAGAATTATTGAGGAATCAATATGAGATTGAGCTGAATTATGATGAATATTCATTTTCAGACGATTAATTGGTAAGCCATTAATTTTTGTTATTTTTTTGTTTTACATGTTAACGTAAATAAGTAATATATTAATATTTGTATTCGAAACACTTGTATTTCGTTAAAACATATTGTTGATTTATTATTTATTAACAATATTAAAAATAAATCAATATTATATACAATAACAGTTGGTTCAAAAACGAGTGCTTTTTGAATCAGTACAATATATCAAACATGTTGTACTTATGTTTAATCTTTAATGATAAACATCATGTTAATAAAATAATTGTGTATATACAACTTTATTGTTGTTATGAATGATACTATTTCTATAATTAAATGTTTGTATGTTTAAATATTCGTCAATTTAAAACATGTCAAGGATGATGTGACATGAAATTTCTTTTCAATAATTTCTACAAAATATATAAAATGGTTGTATGATTCCTTCAAGATATAAAGCAAAACATAATTTTTTAAATATTGTTCAAGTGTACATCACTCAGCATTCTAAACATGTTTAAACATTGCTCAATTGAAAACAAATCATCAATCAATGAAATCATAAGTAAATCAAAACATAATTAAATATTATATTTTATGGGTTCTTATACAGTTAACAATTTATTATAATTTAATTTTAATTATAATTTAAAAATAAAAAAGTTATAGTATTTATTTATAATTTCACAAACCATACAAAAACAAACCAAAAGTAATCTATTTCCCGTTTTATTACTTGTTATGTGTGTAACATAACTCTTTTTATTAAAGTTTTCACTTTTAAAAATTCCAATGGTTGAAGTTTTATGTTTCTACAAAAAGTTTCCTTTTTAAATTATTAATTATGAAACATATTGGGAAACTATACCAAATAGAATCCAACATAACTTATAACAATTCAAAAATCAAAACCATATTATTTAAAGCCATTATTAAATAATAATTTCAGAGAGATGAACAAAACGATGCAAGCATTAATCAAAGCAATGTCTGTGCTGACCGAAACTACCAATGGTCATGGTGGTGCAGTTGTCAGACGCAATGGGAAGATCATGAATCAAAGTGGAATCAATTTGACTGACAACGAAGCTGTCCTGATCGCAGACAAAATGTTCAACAACGATTTCGAGTATTTCCAGATGGATGGAATGACTATTAAGAATCACAAGTATGCAGTGACCAATTCCGATGACAAAAAAGGCGTAGTTACAGCGATGAAAGGCAACAATGGAGTTAATATAATCAAAGGAAAGAATACTATAGTCATTGGATACTATAACAATACTGCAAAGCCAGTTACTGCTGGCCAAAACCACATTGTTACTTATGTAAAGTGAGGAGAAAAACCCGCACCTATTTTCTTTTTTCTTCTTTGAAAAGCTGTTGAATGAAAAAAGGTTCAGTCTCAGTTTTTTGGTTTATTAAGAATGTTCTTAAAATTAAAATACAATATAAAAACTACATGAAATTAACCTTAAACATGCCTCGGAAAAATTTGTTTTTTGCACTAATATATTTTTTGGCAAATTAAAATAAAACTCACCTCATCCTTAGAATATTAAAATAGTTTGATAGTAAATACGATTAGTTTTGAAACTATTAACAACTGGTTAATTGTTATAGTATATACATGATATAATAAATTATACAAATTTATTATAGCAATATAATAAAATTAACGATATCTTAACTAATGTTTAATTTATGACAATGAATTTATGTATCATATTATGTAATAAATAATATATTATGAAATAATACATTTTGTCAAAAACAATTGAATAACATTTTCTAAAAACAAATATATACATTTATAAAAACTATATAAGAAATTAATAACAACTAAATATTAATAGTAAAATAAAGTCACAAATAAACCTAAAAAAAATTAAACTAATAATAAATTATTATTAATCTATAAATTAATAATTTAAATTCATTCTGAACATAAATTTTTTAATAAAATTAACAAAAAACTAAAAGTATAATAAATTTAATCATTTTGATATAATTAAATAATATAATAATTCAAATAAAATAATGTTAAATTAATTCGAAATAGCATAATAAAATAGTAATTGAACTAATCATTTAATTATTATAGTTACTATTATTTCAATTAAATTTTGTTTATTCTTTAGTTTATGTGAACATTCTTGACATGTATTATATTATTTATTTAATTTGTATTTATATACATTTTATAACAAATTATAATATTTTTTATTAACAATTTTAATTATTAATTATTGACATGAAGAAAAATGTTTTTAACCAAACACACCTTAAGAACACTTCAATTATTTTATTACTGTGTTTTCATTGTGTTATTAAATGAATTACTATTTAAAAATAACATTATGGGATTTTATTTTTATTTATTATTAAAATTAATAATAACTTAACTATAAGTTTGTAACAATAATTGTTATAATTAATTATTTTATATTTTTATAGTTTAATTAAATAATAATTTATTATAAAATTATTATAGTTTTATTTAATAAAATATCTATAATAACTTATTAAATTATTATTTTGTTATCAATTTAATAATTAAAATTTCATCAAACATGCAACAAAAATTTGTTATTAATAACCCGTTATTAACACAATAGTCGTAGCTGTATTATTTGTATGTTGTATTTTAGAGTATATATTTGCTTTATAATATTGTAGACTAAAAACTATCGATGTATTTTTTAATAATATACACTTGTAATTGATATGTGATTTTTTACAACTTATAATCTTAATGACTATTGTGGATGCAAACAATGACATTGATCCTCTTTTACAAGTAATATTATGAAATATTTGTCAAAAATATATTAAAAACATTGTATTAAATATATCGTTACAAAATGGCATAATCTGAAAATAAACACTAACTGAATTACCAATAACATGAAACCAAAAAAGAAAAGATGAGACAGTTCAGAAATGTAAATTCTCGGTATCATGTAAGCCCGATTAAATAGTTTGACGTAACATAATTGAATTCCAGGTGTTGTTGTAATATATAAAATTAAATAACAAAATAAAAGTAATTTCTTGACTGTTGGTTGCATTTTTTCTTTCTTTTTAAAACGTTCGAGTTGTTACAAGTTTTATAAAATTTCATACATCTAAAAGTTATTGTAGTTGATAAACAAAAAAATGATTTATTAATAAATTAAACAGGCACATCAGATATCAATTATCAATTTCAAAACAATCACATCATTTATATTTTTTTATTTTTTTTTAAAAACCAATAATTAATATTTAATCAATAATGGTTTATAACCTATTAGTAGTCGAGGTATTCGGTTTACATGATATACTTATTAATACAGATATTCACATTTTCAATAATAAAAATTTGTTGTAAAAATAAATCATATTAATTATATTCGAATCTAACAGTTTATGTTTGATGCCTAACTTTTAATAACAAAAAAGTTTGCAAGTTTTATATTTATATAATTTTAAAATAGTCTGTTTTACGTTAATACACATCCGATTAACAATATACACAGTTATAACCAAATAGAAATTAAATATTTCAATTGATCATTTCTGTTATTTTTTGATTTATATTTTGATATCATTAAAATTTATTAACTTTTAGTAAAAGGTGTTTCCAATTATTCACATAACAAAGTTATCAACACAATTAAAAGTTTAAATATATTAATAATAGATATACATATTTGTTAATACAAGTGTAATTGTATAATTGAATTATTGAATGAATAATGACTGATAATGACATTGTTATTTTCAATTATTAATTGTAATTATAAGTGTTTGCATTGACGATTTGTTAATACAAAGAAAAATCAAATATAAACAATTGTTAATAATTTCATTGTGCAATCACTTCCATATCCTCAATTTTCATATCAACAGTTTTTTGTTGAAAATGATGTGCAAGCGAGATATTAATCCAAATAATTTTTAACAATCGTTTTATCATTTTTTAAATTACAACACAAAAAGTGAACATGTATATTTTGATAATACTACAACTATTATGATTAATTATAATGGAAGCATTTGTTAATTAGTACTTTTCATTAATTTGATAACAACAGTGAGTGTATTGGGTTTTACTGTTGATTGCTACACTTATGTTTAAAAACAGCCAAAAATATAAAAATGTTAACTTTTTAGTGTGTAAAAATGTAACATCAAACTAAAAGTTTAAAAGATAACAGTAAAATTAAAAAAGTATCACAGTTTACACAAATTTTAGGATTTTACTTGCGACTCACTTAAACGTGTACATCAGACATTAAAATCATTTTTAGTAGTCTAAGAATTAACATGAATTAAAAACTATAGTTGTGTATTTTTTGTTAACATATTTCAATATTGTTGTTGATATGTTGTCAACGAAATGTTTTTAAACAACAAATATGTATTGAAGTTGAATCAATAATGAATTTACCCACTTTTGTTTAAATGTCAAAAAGTTTTTTTACAAAAAAATCAAATTCAAATACATAAAAGTCACAATTTCGTGTTTATTGATTTCAACGTATATATATGTAAAATATAAGCTGTTTTAAATGATATATTAATACACAATTTGTTGTACCTTATTTAAATATTACTGTCCATATAATGAAAATTAAATTTATTGTTGTGTTTTTGATGTTTAAACAAAGTAAAGTGTAAACTTTTATTGGTTTATGATTTGAAACAAATGGACCGTTACAATGTTTTATATTTTTCAATTTGGTGTTTTTGTTGTTCATTAAAATACAAAAGAAGTTATAATCATGTTTTTTATTGATATCATTATTAACTAACTGTTTGTTAAAATGTATTTTTCCAGACAAATCAACTGCTTATATTGTCATTGTTTGGCACGTTGAATGACCAATGCTATACATTTTACAATACATTTATTTTAACAATTTAATTCAGAATTTAATATACAATACTAAAACAATTATGTTGTACATTAATAAGTATCAACAAAATTATAAACAGGTTGAAAGATATATTGAAAAGTTTAAAATAATAGTTTTTTTCTAACACAAATGATTTATCATTATAAAAATGTTGTTAATTGTGGTGCAATTTTTATTCCATGTTGAAAAATGACTATAGTCTTATATGTTGATCATGCACATAACATCATTTTATTCATTTTTTATGTTTATAATTTATAATAAATTAAATATTTATAACAAGTCATTCTTTGAAATATAATTTCAATAAAACGGTATTGTTTGATTATCAAATAATGTTTGTTTAATTGTGGTTTTAAATATTTTACTCCGTCGATTCTGTAACAAATAAAATATTTAATTAATAATTACAAATAAATGTTTGTAATTACAAACAGATATTGTACAATGTAATTTATTTGAAATACACATTTTTTATTGAATTATCGTTAATTATTTACATTTTAGTTTGTTAATTTAACATGTAAAAACGTTAATAATAGTAAGATATTAATTTTGATTGCGTTAAATTATTTGTAAATTTTCGTTGTGTTAATTTGACAAGAAAAATCGATAAATATTTTTAAATTGTTAATTATTTTTTTCGTTAATTAATTTTATTTTTTCGGTGTGTTAATTATACAAGAAAATATGTTAATAAAAATCATATGTTAAATTTATCTTTTCGTTAATTTATATTATGTTTTTTTATTGTGCTAATAAAACATAAAAAATCGATAAATATTTATAAATTGTTAATTTATCAAAAACAATTTGATAAAAATTAATGAATCTTCTGGAATCACAATTCAATATAACCTAATGTCCCGTTTATTTTCGTATTTTTAAAAATAGTTTTACCAAAGACGATTTTTTTGCCGCAAAAAACAGTTTCTTCAGTCTTTTTTTCTTAAAAAGCAAATTTTTCCGAGGCATGACCTTAAATAACAAATATAAAATATTAGGAAATTAAAAATTAATATCTATTATCCTGATATTTTAATGAAGTGATCAATAAGCTTTTGAACATATTTTAGGTTTAAGTTTAATATAATATATTAAATGTTTAGATTAAAAAATATAATATAAGGTTCACTTCCTAATACATCCTTTAAACAATTAATTGCTGATTTGTTTAACTCGCCAACGTACCTAATCCCCAACAAACCAATACTGTTAAAAAGAGCAGTGTTTTTGTTTTTTTGAAAAAAATTATATTATACAGTGTAGTTCAATTATAGTAAAATGAAAATGGAATAACGAGTTCAAATTATGAACTAAAAAACAAATAAATTGTGAAAAAATGAAAAAATAATATAAAATTTTATGACAAAAACGTAAAAAATGGCAAAATAATAATACTGGTAAAATGCAATAACATTTTTAAAACAAAA